TGTCTCCGAAAGACAGAAAGAAAAGGAATTGCGCTATCTGCTGGCCTTGGGGAAAGAATCCAGGACATTAAATGATGTCCTTGAGATAGCCCAGCCAGCCCCGGCTTGGGGCCCTTAGAATGCCTGCTTATTAAAGTTCCTGCCTCTCTGCCTTTCCTGCTGCGGCGGCTCCTTAGCTGGATGACTGGGTTTCGAAGGTATGGGCCGGGGAGGGAGAGGGCAGGACAGGGAATGTTTGGAGTGTGCAGAGCAGGGGCACCGCGCTGGCACCAGCGAGTTGAGCCTTGAGGCAGGCTCGACAGTCTGTCAGCTGGTTCTTTCAAATTGACTCATAGCCGGGGGTGTAGCTCAGCGGCACAAGCACCTGCCTGGCAAGCGCAAGGTCCTGAGTTCGATTCCCAGTACCAAAAAAAAAAAAAGAAAAGAAAAGAAACCACAAACTAAAATCAGTTGATTCATAAAGGAAATCCTAACTCTGTTGGCGGCTGGGATGTATCTCAGCGGCAAAGCACTTGCCTAGACTCTGGGTTCAGTCCTTAGTGTCCGGGGATGAGGTGAGGACAAAAAGAAAAGAAAAAGAAAAACTCAGACCCCATCTTCCTCCCAGTGTGATGCCCAGCCTACATAGTACATACTTACTACAGCTTTTCTTGTAATGAAAAATTCCCAAAACTGAGCGGGGTGTGGTAGCGCATGCCCATAATCCCAGCACTCTCGAGGCTGAGGCAGGAGGATCGTTGCAAGTTCGAGACCAGCCTGGGCTACAAAGTGAGCTTAAAGCCAGCCTGAACTGCATAGAGACCCTGTTTCAAAAAGACAAATAAATAAATAAATAAATAAAAATTCCCAAACCTGCAGCCCAGTGATAATCTTCAGAGTTAATTGACTTTATTTGGGGCTGTTGAGGGCTTTACTACCATCTTTCTTTCTTTCTTTACCTTACTATAAAATTGTAACATTACAAAGGAATGGAAAGACTGACAGGAAATATTTGCAATAGTTGTGCCATTCCCAGATGTTCACTCTACCTCTCTAGCCAAATACCTATTAAATTGCTTTAAAAATAACAAATAAAACAGAGCCGTATCTTTTTCCCTCATCGAGGCCTCTGCTTCTTCCTCTGTTGTAAGTTCCACGGGCCAAAAACTGCTTCTGCAAAGGACAGAGGACTCGCCATAATATCCTACCTCAGAGACAGGAAGAAAAAGGAGAGATATAAAAAATTCTCAGCTAGCAGAATGTCAGGGCTGCAACTGTATTATCAAGTTCAACTATTGTCACAGCAAAAACACTGATTGTAAGCCATAAATCACCCAAATTAAGGCTGGGTGTGGTGGCACATACCTGTAATCCCAGCACTCAGGAGGCTGAGGCAGGAGGATCGTTACAAGTTTGAGACCAGCCTGGGCTACAAAGTGAGCTCAAGGCCGGCCTGAACTGCATAGAGAGACCCTATCTCAAAAAGACCCCCCCCCAAAAAAATCACCCAAATTAAAGTCTCACAGAGCACTGCAGCTCTGCCCCATATTCCAGTGTCCCCTGCCCCATATTCCAGTTTGCCTGATATCCCCGAGGCCCTGCCCCTTCTGTAGTTTGTGGTGCCCCAGTCATTATGGGGAAGGGTCAGAGAGGTTTCTAGCTGCAAGGTGCTTCTTCCATGCCCTAGCTTAGTTTAAAGGAGGGAGAGACAGCCCAGGAAGTCCTTGAACATGAGCGGAATGAGCACAAATGTTTGTGAGACCCCAAACATTTTCTTTCCTGCCTATGGGGCATGGTGTGTACGTGGATGTATGTGGGGCTCCTGGATTAGAGCTGTTGCTCCTGCTCTGCACTGCACCTACCTGCGCTCACTCTCGTCTACATCCACGCTTCACACTGCTGCCCTCCCCTAGCTGCCCTGCCCTTTGCATGTCCATGCAGCCATCTTTGGGGAAGGGGGTGCCTCATCCCCATGGGAGCCCTGGAGCTGTTGGTTTGGCACAAGCTGTGCGACATGGAGGGGAGTGCCCAGGCCCGATGAAGAAGGGGACCAGGCACTGTCAAGACTTCCGAGCTGGCTGGGCACTGTTGCACATGCCTGTAATCCCAGCACTCAGGAGGCTGAGACAGGACGATCACCTCGAGTTCAAGGCCAGCCTGTGCTACATAGTGAGTTCAAGGCCAGCCTGAACTGCACAGGGAGACGCTGTCTCAAAACACCAAAAAGAAAATTTCCGGCCTATAGTAGCAATGTCAGGTTTTGCAGCCTAGGAAAATGATGTAGGAAGAAGAAAAGAACTGGATAGAAGACCACATCACAGGAAGGAAACGAGATCTCTTACAGAAACAATGTGGTCTCCATCTTCTCTGACTCCTGACTTCTGTTTATTTTCTCTCCACCCCTCATGCTCACACTCTACCCCGTGACTGTCTTGCGTCGCCTGCCTCTGTTTCCGCCTTTTCTCCTTGGACGCCCTGCAGCTGGTACGTGACAATGCAGATTTGCGTTGTGAGCTTCCTAAACTGGAAAAACGACTTAGGGCTACGGCTGAGAGAGTTAAGGCCCTGGAGGGTGCACTGAAGGAGGCCAAGGAGGGCGCCATGAAGGACAAGCGGCGGTACCAGCAGGAGGTGGACCGCATCAAGGAGGCCGTACGGTACAAGAGCTCGGGCAAGAGAGGCCATTCTGCCCAGATCGGTGAGTGGGTGTCTAAGGCCAGTTGGGATTACCGCCTGCAGTGGGCCCGGCAAATTCCCGAGGGTCAGGCAACTAGAGTACTGCTTGTAGTGCCCAGCCTTCCCTCACATCCAAAAATAAGAGCAGCCGGGTGTGCTGGCGCACGCCTGTAATCCCAGCACTCAGGAGGCTGAGGCAGGAGGATCCTTGTGAGTTTGAGACCAGCCTGGGGTACAAAGTGAGCTCAAGGCGAGCCTGAACTGCATAGCGAGACCCTGTCTCAAAAAGACAAACAAACAAACAAACACAAAGGGCTGGGACTGGAGCTCGGCAGTGCAGTGCTTGCCTAACCTGTGAGGAGGTCCTGGATTCAATTCCAAGTGCTGCCGAGAAAGAAAAGTGATGAATTATGTTGTAAGCAGCCCACATCAAACTCTGTGAAACGGCCTCTGGGACCAGGGCAATCCAGAGAGAGAGACGGCTTCCTCATGTTCACTCCCTCTTTTCTACAGCCAAACCTGTACGGCCTGGCCACTACCCAGCGTCCTCCCCCACCAACCCCTATGGCACCCGGAGCCCTGAGTGCATCAGTTACACCAACAGCCTTTTCCAGAACTACCAGAATCTGTACCTGCAAGCTGCACCCAGCTCCACCTCAGATGTGTAGTAAGTGACCCCGGGCATGGGCTGGGGCCCCGACCCAAGGCTTTCCGGAGCCTGGAAGGCATAGAGTTGGGTCAGTTATTGGTTAGGACTCAGTTATCTTCCAAAGTAGCTTCATTTCTAATCCTTCCTCAGTATCATACCTGGGACAAGGTGGGCTTCTGCCTCCCTGCCTGTGCCACCATGTTTGCTGTCCTCTGCTCTCTGGGGATGGGGCGGGCCGTGTGGCTCTATGGCTGAGGGTGAATGTGGGTTTGTGGTCTTCAGAATAGTGGAGCATTGCTGGGCATGGTGGTGCACCTGCAGGCTGCACCCAGCACTCGGGAGGCTGAGGCAGGAGGATCATTGCAAGTTTGAGACCAGCCTGGGCTACTACAGAGTGAGCTCAGGGCCAGCCTGAACTGCATAGCGAGACCCTATCTGAAAAAGACAAAAAAATAATAAATGGTGGAGCGTGGATGCTGGAGGCTGCATCTCTCTTTTCTGCTCCATCCAGCTTTGCTAACTCCTGTACCAGCAGTGGAGCTCCGTCTTCTGGTGGCCCCTTGGCTTCATATCAGAAGGCCAACATGGACAATGGTGAGTGACCAAGATGGGTAACCCAGCCTCTGGGATCCCCAGGGCAGGTGGAGAGGTATGGGAAAAGTAGGTGACCCTAGTTTAAGTGAACCTTCCTCACATGCCAAGGCTTCAGATAAAAAGTTACCCGGGCTGGAGATACAACTCCCTGGCAGAGCATTTGTCTAGCATGCACCAGACCCTGGGTTCAACCCCTTGTATTCCAAAAACAAAAAACAGGAAGATACTTACCCACTCTTTCAGGTCTAGATTTCACCTCCCCTGCCTGTCCTTTTCCCTTCTCCTTAGTTAGGGGCAGGAGGTTTTTTCTCAAGAGAGTAACGGTGTGGCCTTGGGTGACTGAGGACAGTGTGAAGACTGACTTGTTTTGCAGAAGGGTGAGGGTGGGAGGGGCCTAGGAAGACTATTCCTAACCCCCCTCTGCTCTCTGTTTCTCACCACTGCCTCACTGGCGACCCCTTCAGGAAATGCCACAGATATCAACGACAATAGGTACACCCTTCTCCGCTGCCCTGGGTTCTCTGGGTGGGACCAGAAGAACAACTGAACTTCCCTCTGCCTTGCGTAGTGCTTCCCTGGAGCCTCTGGGGGAGGGAGGAGGAAATGAGAATCTTCCTGCCCTCCCTGGGTGGTCAGGGAGACCCAGGCATTCCCTCTCCTCTGTGCGGAACACCGTCCCCTCCTCCGGTCCCCTCTGGGGCCTCTTCCTGTTCTAGTTACGGGGCCACGCACACCCGATGAAGTGGTTTCTCTGCTCACGTTGGGAACGTTGTGGCCTTGGGCAAGTCATTTACATCAGCCTGGCCTTGCAGTTCCCTGCGTCCCTGGAACGCATGAGCGGGCCCTGACCCTGGCCTTGGTTATCTCACAGGAGCGCTGTCAGAGCCGTGTCCACGGCAGTGATACTTTCGCTTCTGTGGCGCTGATCCGCGTGTGTGTCTCCCATAGGAGTGACCTGCCGTGCGGCTACGAGGCTGAGGACCAGGCCAAGCTTTTCCCTCTCCACCAAGAGACGGCAGCCAGCTAATCTCCCACGGGACGATGGCTACATACCTGCACTTTCAGGTAGGCCTGGGCCACCTCCCCTCACCAGCCTCACGTGGCCCCCTTTCCCACCCACACTTCTTTGGTTTTCTCTCTTTTTTTTAACCACCTGAAGACTTTCGCTGCAGTGTTACCCCTCAGCTCCTGCCGGCCCCTGGTAGGGGCTACATGTGCGTAGCCCGTGTGTCCTGCACACTGAACTCTGACACCTCTCTTGCTCCCTATTGCTTTCCCTTTGGCTATTGTAGTAGCCACAGTGCTGCTTTCTGCCACTAGAGGTCACTGCCATACGCCAAAAGAAGTGAGCAAGGGCCACTGTCCATCTGCTGCAAACAGGTCATAGACCAGTGATGGTGAACCTACGGCACGCGTGCTGCAGCGGGCTGTTTGTATCACTAAAAGCTCTGAAAGGTTCGCCATCACTGTCGTAGACCATAGCTAACAAGGGACCCTCCCTCCACCTGCATTCTCAAATATCTTAGATGGATAGAGATTTTGTGAAGACATCTGCAGTAAAGGCAGTGTGATTTACTACTAACACCGTATCTTTCCATCTACACATACCACCAAAAAGCCACAGGAAATGCCCATGAAGTCTAGCTTGGTCCCTGCAGCCGTAATGTCAGCAGTCTCCTGCATATGGGTCAGCAGAGGTAGTAACAGCTGTCCCAAGCTCTAACCGCCCCTCTTACCTAAGGACTATGGGTGGGTCAGGGATGGTGTAGCAGAGGCCACGTGGGTGATCTGGTTGTTGGTATTAAGGGAACAGGAGCCAGGCATGGTGGCTCATGCCTGTAATCCCAGCACTCAGGAGGCTGAGGCAGGAGGATCGTCCAGAGTTCAAGGCCAGCCTGGGCTACAGAGTGAGCTCGAGGCCAGCCTGAATTGCATAGCAAGACCCTGTCTCAAAAAGACAAAAAAAACAACAGGGCTGTAAACCAACATGTGGCCAGAAGCCATCGGTTCCTACAAAGCAGCTGGGCCGCAGCTGGTCCCTCACATCTTCTTTCTCTTTCTTCCCCAGTTTCTAAGAGGGACTGAGGCCTCTTCTCTCAGCATGCTGCAAACCTGTGGTCTCTGACACTAACTCCCTCCCCGGCCCCTGTTGTTGGACTGTATCGTTGGATGTCCTCTCTTCCTGACTCTGTATCTCTTTGTACTCCGTATCTATATATCAGAAGCTGCTGCTACGTCTCCCCCTCTCCGTCCTGCTCTCAGTACTTAGTAATGTATTTAGCAATTTCTAAGCATAGTCTCCCCTCCTCATTTGGGACAATAGAGAGGAGGGGAAATGTTTCCTCTCTCTCATATACGCGTCTCTCACACTGAGTGGTGGTAGTCACTGGGCAGAGGTCGCAGAGATGATGGAAGAAGACATGGGGAGTAGAGGGCCATGATCCTGCTTTCTCACACACATGTGCACACGCGCACACACACACACACATACACACACATATGTACATACAAAGCCTTAAGCAGAAAAATGTCTTCGCACCCTCAGAAGACAGAAATACACTCTTCCTCTCCTCCCTTTCATGAATAATACAGGGGAGGGTGAGATGGAAGGGCTTCTAAATTACACAGATAATTTTCTCCACGCACCCCTTACCTGAACCAAGAGGTTCCAGGGGTTTACCTCTGGCCTGCAAAGTCTGCCTTTTGCTTTCCTCCTCCGCTTGCCCTGGACTGAGAAGAAACATGGGTTGTGTAAAGCACATTTCCCGTTCTCGTCCAAGCCCCTGTTAGGACCCTCTACCCCAGAACGCAGAGCTGATTAAAAATATTTTGCAGAAAGGAGACAGACTGTTCCCAGTAGTCTGTCCAATGGCTGCTCTTCTGGCCGTGGGGATAGCAGTAGGCAGGTGCGAGCAGAGTGCTTAGTCCTTGGGTCTGGAGAGTGAACTAGCTGAGAAGTTGCTGAGTGTGTTCTGGTTGGTTGGTTGGTTTTGCTTTTTGTCCCCATACCCTCAGGTTGAGGCAGTGAGCTGGACTGCTTTCTCCCACGCTGGGTCTCATGTTCTTCCTTTCGGTTTGGGGCTTCCAGTTCATTGGCAATATAGCTCTCTCTAGATGCTTTTCCTTTCGAGCTGGAGGCTGGCTTCTCCCCAGAACACATTTTCCCCCACAAAGAGTTCCTTGTATAATGTCCCCATCTGGTATTAAGTGCACTTTAAAGAAAGAGCCAGGGCAGATTTTTCAGGGGTGGCGGAGCCCAAGGGCTTGACCCCAGACATTCTCAGCCCTGCGCCCTCTCTCAGTTGAGAGGACTGTTGCTTTAGTTCCAGATGGCCTTCTCCTTCCACTTGGTGCTAAGGTGGTTTTCCAGGTAAATGCACTGATGAAGGTCACTCGCCAGTTCAAACCAAGAAGCCCGATGTCCAGATACCAGTTGTATTTAGCACGAAAGACCTCGATCTTGCTGGGTGTGGTGGCGCATGCCTATAATCTCAGCACTGGGGAGGCTGAGCCAGGAGGACTGCCACAAGTTCAAGGCCAGCCTGGACTACATAGTGAGACCCTGTCTCAAAAAAAAGAAAAAAAAAGACCTGGATCCTCCAGGACAGTCCGCCATCACGTGACTTCTTTTAAGTTGGGAACGAAAGCGCAGTCTGAGTGCCGCTGGTAAACGCTGGTCATCATGGCCCGTGATCCCTCCCAGTGAGAGAGCCCTCTGCCTTCTCTTGTTGAGCCACTGCTAGCAGTTACGGAGAGACACCAGGGGGAAAATACCAGAGGGGTGTGGAAGAAATCCAAAGTGGTCATTTTTGCCGGGTGTGGTGGTGCACGCCTGTAATCCCAGCACTCGGGAGGCTGAGGCAGGAGGATCATTGCAAGTTCAAGATCAACCTGGGCTACAGAGTGAGCTCAAGGCGAGCCTGAACTGCATAGCGAGACCCTGTCTCAAAAAGACCGAAAAAAAAAAAGTGGTAATTTTTAAATACTTCTCAAAATAAATGTCACGGAGAGTCCTGATATAAAAAATGACAATGCACACCTGGGTATAGTCTGCATTTTCTTTTTCGGGTGAGAAACGCTTCACTGGTTCAGGATCCCTTGAAGAGTCCAAAGAGACCTTGGGGGTTCTATAGAATAGTTTGAAAAGTACTGCTCTGAGAAGGGACCAATCTGGCTCCCCTACACCTGCAACTCACCAGATGGAGGACTGGGATGGTATTGATGAACTGTGCGTTGTCAGACTCCATTGAGAGAATAAGGAAGACACCAGCGCACCTCTAGATTAAGCTAGTATTTGCCAGCAGGACATCTAAGAATCCAGAAGGCTTATGTAATCTTTGGTTTGTTTTTTTGTCTGTTTTTGAGACAAGGTCTTGCTATTCAGGCTGGCCTTGAACTCACTATGTAGCCCAGGCTGGCCTTGAATCTCAGGGTGATCCTCCTGCCTCAGCCTCCTGAGTGCTGGGATTACAGGTGTGCACCACCTCACCTGGTTCCAAACGATCCTTGAAAACAGTGTATGTGAATGTGTAGGGCATATGAAGAAAGGGGACACAGAAGGGCAGCCTGCTCTCTAGGAAGATGTAAGGGAAATGTAACTCACTTGCAGAAATAAGAAACAGTACACACACCACCCTTCACCAGAAGCTTCTCCCTACATGCTCCTCTTCCCGTTCCTACGTCACATCCCTTACAGAGAGCCAGGGCCACCGCAAGGGCTACCTGGCTTCCCCACTCACATCTGCCAAAATGTTGCATGCCGGTGTGGAAGACAAACCAAACTGCACAAATCCCTGTGTGTATTTACTTGGTGTACATAGATATCTTTGAAATAAAATAAATTCAATGATAACTTTACGTTGTTGTGAATCTTCTTTATCCTTCCCTAATTGCACTCCCTTATTTGCATGGAATGGCATTTAATAGTGTGGTGAATATCCTTTATTTTATTTTATTTTTTTTTGTGAATATCCTTTAGATTTGATTTTTTTGGGCGGGGGTCTTATGAGGGATTGAACCCAGAGCCTTCACACAGGTACATGCCCTTTTTTTTACTTTGAGACAGTCTCCCTAAGTCATTAAGTTGCCCAGGGTGGGCCGAGGCTTTCGATCCCCCTGCCTCAGCCTCGCAGAGAGCTGGGATCACAGGTGTGCACAACCATGCCAGACACATTTTGACATGTATTTACCTAAAGGCTTTTTTCCTCCCTGGAGATCTTTTCCATATACATTGATTTAACTCATTAAGTATGCATAGTTTTCATACATTTATCCATTCCATCCAGCCATTCCACTATGGATGGATGTCCAGGTGGTATTGTAATTTTTCACACACACAAAAAAGTACCACGTTCTCTTCATTTTTCCCTGAGACCGCCAGTCACGCCCGGCCCGGCCTCACTTGTACTCTAGTGCATCACTGTCCTTCCCTTGCCGGCAGCTGTCTTCTTGTTCCAGGATCGCACTTCCAACCCTTACGATTTTCTCTGCTCATCCCTCAAAGCCTCTGACTTGGAGAAAACTGCAACTAAAAAACCAAACCCCGGACAACTAAAGATGAAGAGCTGCACTCCGCCACCCCCAGCCCCCGCCCTTCTCCAGCACTGCTCCCTGCTCCTACCTGGCCCCCTGCTCAGTCCCCTCTCCTGCCTTCTGACAGCTGTTCTAAAGCCTTCACTCCTGGAGAGACCCTCCCGCCTTCCTCTCAGACAGCTTTAGGAAAATTATGGAGATCGAGCATGACGTTCGCCCCTCCCAATAACCCTCCACATTTGCCTGTATCTCCACTTTCATTCTTCCTCTGACGATTTTTCTGGACCGAAGTGAATCCCTTATACAGACTCCCCGCTCCCACCAACTGCTGCGCTGGGGATTGAACCATGGCCTCCCATGCTAGGCCAGAGGCTAAGTGTCCCCTAGACCCTTAATTCTTGAAATTACGTCCATAAGACCCCAGTATATAAAATAACTAAAAGTACTGCAGTATATAAAAGTATTATTTGGTGGTGGTGCACGCCTGTAATCCCAGCACTAGGGAGGCTGAGGCAGGAGGATCACTGCGAGTTTGAGACAAGCCTGGGCTACAAAGTGAGCTCAAGGCCAGCCTCAACTGCATAGGGAGACCCTGTGTCAAAAAAAAAAAGTATTATTTGTATCTTCTTTAACATTTGTCTCAACAATCTTGTACACTCTCTCCTCCTTTTCTGTGTGCTTCTCAATAAATGAGTTCCTGGTCTTCCTTGTTTTCTTCCTGACAAATCTCCAGAAACAGCCCCAAGCTTCCCACCACCACTCCCTCCGCCCCGTTCATCCCTGAGCCCACCCCCGCCTGGCTCTTGTCCTCACACTGCTGCTGCAGGGGTTACCGGGTAACAAATGAGACAGGCATTTCTCGGTGCTTGTCTTACTCCTCCTCTCTGTATCCTCCACGCCCTCCTTGAAGCTCTGCTCCCTGGGGTTTCATGATCCCCCTCAACCTCTGGCCGCCCCTTCGGAGTCTTCCTTTACCAGCCTCCCAAATGCGGCTGTGGCTTTGGATTCAGCCCTTGGCCCTCTCCTTGCTCCTGCTGGGCATGTCATCCATGCCCACAGAGTCCACAATTCTTAAATCTATTCCCAACCCAGGTTATCTGCTGAGCTCAGGGTCACATATCCAGCTGCCCTCAGGTGCCTGAAACATGTTCCAGACTGAACTCACCTTTTCCCCAGCACTGCTCCTTTTCACATCACCTCTACTCTCCCCACTTTAGGCAGAAACCTGGAACTCACTCTCAATGTCTCACTTTTCCCTCAAAGCCCACACCCGCTAAGAATAGCTTGTTTGCTTTCTTTTTTCCTTTTTTTTTTTGGCTTTTTTCCGGTACCGGGAATCGAACTCATGACCATGCGCTTGCCAGGCAGGCGCTGTGCCGCTGAGCTAAATCCCCAGCCCCTCTTTTTTCCTCACTAGGCCTTCACACAGAACTATGTGGACCAGACCTTTTTAAAAAAATTTGAGACAGGGTCTCACTGGGTCACTAAATTGTCCAGGCTGAGTTTGAACTCAACACCCTCCTGCCTCAGCCTGCCCACCAAGTGCAGAGATTACAACTGTGCACCATTCTGCCTGGCTCCACTATGTATTTTCCAAATTATCTATAGCTTTACAGGACATCCCTTTCTCCCAACTCAGCAGCCACGCTTTGGTTCACTTTCCGTGTGTGAACTTTGGCAACACTCCAGTCACCCTCCAGAATGATGCCTAAGTGGCCCTTCTGAAAGCACACTCACTAGATTAAATCCACTTACGGGGATCTCCAGTGCCTACCCTTCCTAATCTTAAATCTTGTTTCTTTCCACTGGTTCTCAAGTTCCAGCCCTGCTTTACTATGTACATCTTCATAAATAGACAAGTTCCTTCTTGTCTCAATGGCTTTGTGCTCTGGTCTCTGCACAGAAAGCCTTCTACCCCTTGGCCCTGAATTCCACCCACCCTTCCATACCCAACCTCTTCCAGCGCTTACCTGACCACCTGCACTTCACCCTGTGTCACAACCACTGCCTCCCAGGCAGCGCCAGTATCCCTTTTATCTCGAATATTGCAACTTTCTCCCCGGCCAGCCAGAGCATTAGACATCCCACTCCAACTGCGTTAGGGCTGGAACTATTTGTTCTCAGCTTCCATCAAAGGAAGGTCAGTCGGAGGAACAGTACTGCGTACATGTAAGTGTTCAATAGACACCTGGTGACTAGACGAATGAACGAATTCAAACATGCTAATGGCCACAGGTAAGAATTTAGGATTTCTCCGGTCGTGGTGGTGCACACCTGTGATCCCAGCACTCAGGAGGTTGAGACAGAAGGATCCCCAGGAGTTCGAGACCAGTCCGGGCTACATGGTGAGTTTAAGGTCTCCAAAAAACAAAACAAAAGCACAAAAATTCAGAATTTCTCATTTCCGCCCCTCCCAGATCCCTCCCTACTTGGTAAGGAAACGCTTGCGCGTTAGCCTTAGGCTGCAGGTTTCTCTTGGAAACGCGGCCGAACCAGAAGGCGGTGGCTTTGCAGCGACGCTCCCGACCCGGTAAGATCCAGGCCGGCCAAGGCGCACCTCTGCGGCCCGGATGACCGGCGAGGGCCTCGACCAGGGTGACCGCCCTCGCGGCCCCCGGCCTCCCGCACGCGCGCCCCGCTGCAGG